AGTTAGTTAAGTGTGGAATTGCTATAATGCTGTAACTAATGTTTCACTGTACTCATGCAGGACAATTGGATGATCTAATGGAGTCAAAAGCTGGCAAAAAGTCTGGTAGTAAATCTTTATTTTACGAAGCTCCCCTAGGTTACGGTATTGAAGACGTTCGTCCAAGCGGTGGCCTCAGGAAATTCAAATCTGCTGCTTTCTCCAACGTAAGTTTCTTTTTCCATCATCCCACATTCCATTCCATCGTTAAAATATACAATCAAACCACTTTAACACATTCCATTTTCCATCTTGCAGTGCACTCGCAAGCCGTCCTGAGTTTTTTTAACATCCCTCCTACATAACCCCTAGGCTCTAGATAACAACTTTTCTTTTCCATTCTCTCTACTCTTCTTTCCTTCCTCCTTTTTCCCCAATTCCTCTCTTTACAACAAAGAAGATGACGTCCACAATGTCTGCTATCGGATTCGAAGGCTTTGAGAAGAGGCTCGAGATTTCCTTTTATACCCCTGGTCCCGACCCTGGAAACCGAGGTCTCCGTTCTTTAACCAAGGACCAAATTGACGAATTTCTAGCACCGGCGGAATGCACGATTGTTTCTTCACTATCGAACGATTCACTCGATTCCTATGTTCTATCGGAATCCAGTCTTTTTGTTTACCCATACAAGATCATCATCAAAACATGTGGCACTACAAAGCTACTCCTTTCTATACCGGTTATACTCAAATTATCCGGTGAACTTTCCCTCACTGTGAAATCCGTTCGATACACCCGTGGAAGCTTTATCTTTCCCGGAGCTCAGGTGTACCCTCACAGGAGCTTCACTGAAGAAGTAATGGTACTCGATAGCCACTTTGGAAACCTTGTTTCCAATGCTTATGTCATGGGAGGTGATGACAAGAATCAGAAATGGCACGTCTACTCTGCTTCAGCTGAAGGAAAGGAATCTGTTTCGGTTTACACTCTTGAGATGTGCATGACAGGTTTAAGCAAGAAGAAATCATCGGTGTTTTTCAAATCGGAATCGAGCTGTGCGGTGGAGATGACTGAAGGTTCTGGAATCCGTAAGATTCTTCCGGAATCTGAGATTTGTGATTTTGATTTTGACCCGTGTGGGTATTCGATGAATGCGATTGAAGGTGATGCGATCTCGACCATTCATGTGACCCCAGAAGATGGGTTTAGTTATGCTAGTTTTGAAGCTGTTGGTTATGATTTCAAGTCTGTGGATCTGGGTTGTTTGATTGAACGGGTTTTGGGGTGCTTTGAGCCGAGTGAGTTTTCGGTGGCTTTGCATGGAGATGAGTTGAAAGATTTGGATCTTGATCTGGATGATAGTGATAATGGTAATGGTATGTATGTGAATGTTAAGGGGTACAGTGTTGAAGAAATGAAGTTTGAAGATTTGGGTGAAGGAGGGGGCGAGATGGTGTACTTTGGGTTTGTCAAGGGTGGAAGTGGTTGTGGGTTGTCTCCTCGATCGACCCTGCATAGAAGCTGTTGGAGTGAAACTGAGAATGAGAATGAGGATGAGTGAGAATGTGAATGAGAAAATTAGAGTTTGTGAAGTGGAATGTCTAGTGTGGTTGTGAAGCTGTTTGCGTCTGTCTGGCTGAGAGAGGGAGTGTGTTTTTGCTTCTAATTTTGTGTGTATTTACTATCTGACTGTACCGTTTGTTTTTGGCTGCCTTTTGTTTTAACTAAGACACATCTGTACGATGATATGATATGATATGATATGACTCGTTTCATGTTTAAGTCAATGGCATTGTTTCTGATGTATTGGCATCTGGCGTTGTTTCATTGTTTTTTTTTTTTTTTTTTGTTGACTTTGCAATTGGTATATGATTTTTCGGATTGTGCATTGTGCATATGACAGAGTGCTTTACTTAGTTTGGCAACCTGTTCATCCACTGCTGCATCCATTGGAAACCCACATTTAGTGTGTGCAGTTGTACTAAGAGCTTGTTCTTGGGACCTTCTCTTAAAATCCAAAATCTCTTGCAAAATGGGTTGAACTAATCCCTGATTACAAGCACTCGTTACAAACTTCTTGGACCATGACTCGTGTTCTGAGAAAACATTCACACTTCAAAACTGCTGCTCCAAGAGATTTTTATCTTCACCCACAGTTTTGAATGCACTCTCTCCCACTAACTTTGATGACCAAGATGTGATTTGCTGGTTAGTAATCTTCTACGTAAATTCAAAGATGACCCAAGATGCAATTCATGAGGGTTCATGGCTTAAAACCACATTTGCCTGCTTGCAATGTTCTATTTAACTCATTGGTTAAGGATAGGCTGACTGCCACAGTTTTTAAGCTCTACAAGAAATGACCTAGACTGGGATCGTTCCAAATTTGCATATCTACAATGTCTTCATTCATGCTTGTTGCAAGTTTTCTGATATGGAAAAAACCATAAGAATTGTTGAATGAGATGGAGTTTAACTCTGTTTCTCCTGATCCCTTTACATATGGTTATATTGCAAGAAAGTTATGCATTAGGAGGCTTTGTGTATTCAAGATAGAATGGACAGGTCAGGTATCCATCCAGACATTATAACCTACAATTCCTTCATCTATGGATAATTGTTACATATAACACAATTCTGCACAATTTATGTGAAGATGGAAGAATAAAGGATGCAAACAAATTGTTGAATGAAATGAGTGGAAAAAAAGTTGTACCTGATAACATCACTTGCTACACACCAATTAATGCTTATTGCAAGATTGGAGATATGCTGATTACTCACAAATTCCATAAAAGTTTTGCTGCTGGTTATGTTGGTGATAAGGGTATTTTGGGAACTTTTTGGAATCTAGCAGTTGAATGAGGCTTAATTTCAAGAAGTACTTTAAAACAGATTCATCTGGATCAAGATTATGTGTAGGAAGCAAAGCTTGTAATGCCATGGAGTTAATAGTTAGACTCCATTGTTCTTTATTACTTCTGCTATTTTTATTGTTGAATAGAAAACATGTTTTCAAATTATGACTTATATGAATCCGTTCAATGTTCAATGTTATTAGTAATCACATCACAGATAGCATATTATAAACAGTATTAGCGTCAAGATTATGTAGAAAAAGTGAAAGTTGACGTTCAGTAGCAAATACAGAAGAAAAGTGTACATAGGAAAAATGATTATAATAAGTCGATAAAGGGGGAAACCCATGTGTGAATACTTGTGGTCCAATAAATTAATACCACGAAATAAAAGGCATATAATTTGGTTTGAACTATGAAGATAAGAACTTCGATTAATGCAACTTGACACCCTTGACTTTAGTATATATGACTTTTAATTTCTTATAGATTAGTATATGTATGCGACATTTAAAAAAACTTTGAATTTTAAATATTAGTTGCTAATCTCAATCTAATCAATCTAATGTAATAATGTATCTATAAATTGTAGAATATCAAAACTAATTATATCAGTTAGCCATGATATATATGTAATATAGATATATAATTGTGTGTATTCATGAGATTTTTATATAGATGCATATTTTTCTTTCATATAATATGAAAAAATAGAAAGTTGGGTCATCTTATAATACCTCCATTATAACATTATCAATTTAACGGTACATCAGACTCGTATCTTGATACTTCAAATTTCAATGAATTCCATTTGTAGGAATATATAAAAATTATGTCTTTATATTAATACAAATTGTACGGGTTCAACGACACCTTCAGATAGAGGTTTACAACAAAACCGGTTTTTTATGTTTGGATCTGGATCGAATCCAAAACCAATTTGATTGAAACTAATACGATTTGATCCAATCCAAATCAGATTTAATCATATGACAATCTAGATGTTGAAAAACGGATTAGAATTGAATAATTGATACCGGTTAAAAACTGATCCAGTAAAGAAGTAGAAAGAACATAAAAAACCAATTAAGTAACGAAGCATCATTCACATGTTCACATTTTGTGGGGTAAATCTGTTAAGAACCAAACTACTCTCGGAGAAAAACAACTTAATTGGTCTAAGATCAGTTAACGAACTGATTTTTATTTTTTATTTTTTATGAAAACATCAAAAACAACTGACATTCTGAGAGGGGATAAACTTCCTTATTCACAAAGCTTCTCCCTCTCTCACACACACACACATTAAAAAAAAACAAATCGATAGGGCTTTCCATTTTTTCTATTCCATCCCATTTCAAAATCTATCTTCCTAGGTGCTCATAACTCCACAACACTTTAAATTTTAGGTATCTAAAATGCAAGATATAAAATTAAAGGGGGGTAAGCGAAATAAAGAAAGAAAGAGGAAGCACCATCTAAATTAGACGATGTGGTCGGAGTAGAGCCATTCGTTGAAGTACCATACGAAACTTACTCATTTTGGCCCCACATGACATTTGGCAACCACAGTTAACTGCCACGTATCAGAGATAAGCATGCAAGTGAGCCCCACCAGCTAAGCTAAACGACAATATGGGTTGCATTGTTACAACTTACAAGAGAAGGGCTGACCATGATCCGCTTCACGTGGCCCATGGACCCACGTATTGAAAGAGATTCCAAATTTGTCAACATTAACCGGGTCGACCTTGAGCTCCTCTCCCCACAATTGAAAAGCTTTCCCCCTTTCGTATCGACTAAGAATTTATTTTTTCCTAGTTAGTGTATAAATATTAAATAATAAAGTGTCTCAAAATTAGTTATAAAACTATAAATTATGAATATTTAAATAAAAAATTTATACAAAGTAAATTTGCATGGTATAGTACAGTTAGTACGTAGTCAAATCAATGTTCCAATAATTTAATTTAGTTGTTGTAATATATATATATATATATTAAAGGACGCCCAAAATAAGTTTTACTCAATTTAAAAATTGAAGAATCAAGGGGTCCACAGTTTCCTTTGCGCACATCTCATTGGCAATACTTTGGGCCCACATAGACTCTTACCAATCCTCACAAACTTTCTCACCCACTAATTATTTTCCACGTGTCATCTTCTAGATTCTCCTTCCGCCTCCCACTTGTTACTTTGCTTCTTTATTGTGACCACAAAACGGAACTCAAAAACTACAACACGAACCACACAATTACAAACCCAAATACAGAATGTTAGATCAGAGCAGTATCTTATGCTTAAAAAGTAGTACCACCTGGGCTCGAGTCTGCGATACCTGCCGCTCCGCCCCCTGCACAATATACTGCCGCCCAGACGCTGCGTATCTCTGCACTGCCTGCGACGCCCGGATCCACGCCCCCAACAAGCTGCAATCTTCCCAGCACGAACGTGTGTGGGTATGTGAAGCGTGTGAGCAAGCTCCAGCGGCTTTTATATGCAAAGCCGACGCCGCCTCCCTCTGCACCACCTGTGACGCCGATATCCATTCCGCCAACCCTCTTGCACGGCGGCACCACCGCGTCCCGGTCATGCCGATTCCAAGTGCTCTCTATGGACCTCAGGCTGCTGATCCAAGGACTGTGATGGGGCTAGGAGTTGAATCTCAAAGTGGGTTTTTGTCACACGACGGTGAAGACACCATTGACGATGAGGATGAAGACGAAGCAGCTTCATGGTTGTTGTTTGATGGTCTGCCGCCTCCCAAGAACAGCCAAAATCAAAATGGTAAAGATAATGGGTATTTGTTTAGTGGAGAAGGAGGCGACGATGAGTACTTGGAGTTCATGGAATTCGGTGAGGATCAGCAACAATGCTATAAGGTGACGGAAAAGATGTATGGTGGTGGCAACGCCGATAGTGTGGTGCCGGTTCAGAAAAATCATCACCAGCAAGAGTTTCAGAGCCAGAAGTTTCAGTTGGGGATGGAATATGAGACTTCCAATGGTGGTGGTTATGGCTATCCTGCACTTACTCATAGCGTAAGTCTTATATCATTATCTTCTTCATCAAGAAATTAAATCTACGAAAATTATTCCATCCCTATATATAACTAATGCTAAAGCTAAATAATTATCTTTGACCAAGGTTTGATATATTAGTTGAAGTTGATAATCAATATATGTTGGATTATAAACTTAATTGACTGATAATTAAATATTTTATATATAAAGTCAAACTTGCACTTTTATAGTCCTTAAATCTAATGATTATGGCTTACATGATATTTAATTATATCATCGGCCATCACCAATATAGAATATGTTGAGTGATGTTTTCATGACTGAATACAGAATGTTTCCTTTCATAAATAATTGGATATTTTTCTTGGTTTTATATATTCATAAAAATAACAAAATAAACTTGTTTCTATTTATAAATTTGTATTTTATTTTCTCAAAAAAAAAAAAAAAAAAAAAAGACAAAAACTGGTTTTCACCAAGTTTTAGATTCACTGTACTTTTTATCAATTAGTGATCGTTGTATGATTTCCGAATTTTAATTGCTATTTATAATACTTCTTTAAATCTTTTGTTTTTGTTAAAGAATATTGTAAAACAATTTACCAAATTATTAATTATGCCATGTTTTTTTCTTCCAAATTACTAATTTAAGTAAATGATTAATTAAGTCGACGAAAATAGAGCAAGATCAACATTTTGTCCAATCTTAAAAGGTCAAAATTACTAGTAATAGATATAGGATAAGTTTCCACAAAGATATAGTCATGTAATTAATTATACGTGTTAGGGTTGAAGTCGACCTAAGAAAAATTTTGCTTGTTGTAATTGTCCAGGTTTCCATGTCATCATTGGAAGTCGGAGTCGTGCCTGATTCATCAAGAACGGAGGCTTCAATTTCACATTCTAGACCCTCAAAGGGGACGATCGATCTATTCTCAAACCCTCCGGTTCAGGTACTGCCTACCCAACTCACTCCAATGGATCGTGAGGCTCGGGTATTGAGGTATAGGGAGAAGAAGAAAACAAGAAAATTTGAAAAGACTATTCGTTATGCATCAAGAAAAGCATATGCAGAAACAAGACCAAGGATCAAAGGTCGTTTTGCTAAAAGAAACAATGGAGAGGAGGATGTGGACCAAATGTTCCTTACCAACCATATGGTAGAAGGTGGATATGGTATCGTCCCATCATTTTAAATATGGATATGGTAAGATGATCATATTAGCATCATCTTAGTAAGCAGGACTCAATCATCTTCAGCATATGGGTTCGCTTTAGTTGTAAACATAACTGCAAAGCCTTAATTGTTTTTTGCTTTTTCTTTCTGATATATTTTGTGTTGTGGGGATATAAAATAATAACCTTTATCTTTTTTCAAATTTCAAGTGTTCTTTCATTTCTCTTGTGAGTTGTGACTTTGGTCAGGCCCATTTGGCCTTATTTACAGACGAAGCCCAAGTCCATTGGTTTAAAATTGGAGGTGTTGATTAAGATTTTATTGATCAAATTTACCAATGTAACCTGTGCATGTTTCTTGTAATACCATTGACAAAAACCTTCCTTAAGAATATTATTATTAGATTTGTAAGAAACAATCTTCATCTCTACGTCATTGTCACCTTCACCATCATCTCACCGTCTCTTGCACTACCTACCACAACCACAACCACCATCACCATCAATTCCAAAACAAAAGATGGAGACTAGAACATCAAATACAAATTGAAGACATATATCAAGAACAAAAAACAAACAAGATAATGTGTTGCCATCCCAAACTCCTCGATCGGTGCAGGGAATTGAATTCCTTAGATATGCACAAAAAAAAAAAAAAGAGTTGGGAATTAGAAACCAGTTTTTCAAACCGAACCAAGTTGAATTAAAAACCGGTTTGGGTGAAACAAAATTCAGCGTGAAGCAGAACCTAAGGCTTAGGATCGGTAAAAGGGTTTTAAAATCATCTTAATGTGATTGTGTGTATTTATGAATTTTTATTTTTATTATATAAGGGTAATTGTATAAACCGAAAACATAACCAAATAAGTAATACATGTTCGGTTCGGTTCGGTTCCGGCCCGAATAACTCAAATAACATGTACAAGATGATTAAGGAGCCGAATAACCCGAATAACCCAAATAACATTTACAATGTGATTATTAATATTGTATTTTGTATGACTTTTGTAGCTTATGATAAACATGAATAACACAGATAACACGGATTAACTATTCTTGATATATAAAATGTAAAATCCAACCACCACAATCTTAAGATATAGTTATTAAGCAACATATTAAACACTAAACATTAAACATCCAAAACACCTAAAGTCTATCTAGAGAGACAACAAGTCTGCCGCGATGGTGTGCTTACCACGAAGACTTTGGTCACATGCCAAAGGATTGCATAGCCCTATGATAAGAAATCAGCTACCTCCTTAGCAAAGGACACCTCAAAGAGATCCTTGGTAGAAAAGAGAAAAACCCAAGGAGTACAGATAGAATGATCATAGGATCCCGGAGAAACCAAGATCTCCACCCTCTCACGCTAAGATAATTAACATTATCTCAGGTGGATCTAACATATGTGGTACCTCTTATTCTCAAGCTAAAAGACACGCCAATGTCTTTAAAATGGAAAACGAGGACATACTTCGAAAGAATACCATGACTAGCAGTGAGAAAGAAATCACATTTAAAGAAACGGACAGGGAAGGAATTCGGGATCCTCATCATGACGGACTCGTGATAACATTGTACATGGCCATCCATTTCGTCAGAAGGATCCTTGTTGATGGAGGATCCTCAATCAATATTGTACTCCTAGACGCACTGAAAAGAATGAACATCCCAGAATCAGAAATAGTCAGAAGATCCTCAGTCCTCATAGGATTTATCGGGGAAACAATACACACAGTTGGAGAAATAAAGCTACCAATATACATAGAAGGGGTAAACTCTATACAAAATTTATGTGTTATTGACACCTTATCTTCTTATAATGTGATACTAGGTTGACCATGGATTCACGAGATAAAACTGATTCCATCGACGTACCATCGGTGTGTAAAGTTACCCACTCCATGGGGAACAGTGAAGATCATGGGAGATCAACAAGAATCGAAAGAATGCTACAAAACCTCCATGAAATCTATGACCAAACGCCAACAAGCATAGCAATTAAGGCAGGGGGAACGACATGTTCTGGAGACAAAGGAACAAGACGTAAAGGAAGTGCCCCTGGGTATCAAGGATCCTAAAGCTAAATTTCTCATAGGATCCTCAATGCATGAACAAATCGAGCAGGAACTATTTAATTTCTTGAGAACTGAAGCAAGAAATTCGCATGGAAACGCGAATATATTACAAGTATAGACAAGAATATTATTACTCATAAACTTAATATTGATCCTTCTTTCAGAACAATACACCAAAAGAGAAGGAAATTTGCACCTGAAAGGAATCAAATCATCCAAGAGGAAGTAAAGAAGCTCCCCAAAATATGGATGATCAAGGAAGTAAAGTTCTTAAGATGGCTAGCTAATGTGGTTGTTGTACAAAAGAAAAAAAAACAATTAGAGAGTATGTGTAGATTACACGGATCTTAATAAGGCTTTTCCAAAGGATCCTTTCCATCTACCACATATTGACTCTATGATAGATGCGATGGTTGGCCATGAACTCCTAACCTTCATGGATAATTCAGCAGGGTTCCAACAAATCCAGATGGAACCATCAGACCAAGAAGACACTGCATTCATAACACCAACAAATATACAGGTGCAACATATCAAAGATTGGTGAATCGGATGTTCAAAGACAAGCTGGGAGACACCATGGAAGTTTATATTGATGACATGGTAGTGAAGTCAATGAAAGACGAAGATCACCTTAGAGACCTTAAAGAAGCATTTGACATCCTGGACGAGTACAATATGAAGTTGAACCCACTCAAATGTCACTTTGGAATAAAGTCAGGCAAGTTCATGGGATACATGGTAACCAAAAGAGGGATAGAAATAAGCCCAAAACAAATAAAAGCAATCATGGAACTAAGATCCCCATCTTCAATAAAAGACATCCAAAGGCTAGCCGGAAGAGTAGCGACACTCAACAGGTTCATTTAAAGATCCTCAGAAAGGTGAAAGCTCTTTTACGATATCTTGAAAAAGAAAAAGAAATTTGAGTGGAAGGTGGAACACGAGAAAACCTTCCAGGAAATCAGAAAATATCTAAGCTCTCCCCGTACTAGTGAAACCTATAGATGGAGAACCACTTATTCCCTACCTCTCGATATTCTCAAACGTGACAAGTTCCATTCTGGTCAAGGATCTTAACGGGTATCAACATCCTATCTATTATGTAGGTAAAAGTCTCCTGGATCTTGAAACCAGGTACTCTCACCTCGAAAAATTAATTCTTGCCTTAGTAACTGCTTCTACCAAATTAAGACACTACTTCGAAACATACATTATACATGTAAAAACTAACTATCCTATCAATAATGTCATGAAAAAACCAGAAATGTCAGGAAGGATGGCAAAATGTTCGATGAAAATAAGCACATTTGACATTAGATACAAACTAAGATTTGTCATAAAACCACAATCATTAGCAGATTTTGTGGTTGACTTTAGTGATAATCTATAAAACAAAGTAGACATGGAAGCCAAGCAACTCCTATAAGATGAACACCTGGGAAGATGGACATTGTTCATAGATGGAGCTTCAAATAAGAAAGGAACATGCCTAGGGATCATACTAAAACCACCACAGGGGGACATCATACCCCAGACAGTTAGCTGTGAATTCAACACAACCAACAACGAAGCAGAATATGAAGCACTCATCATGGGGCTACAATTAGCTAAAGACCTTCAAATCAAGGATCTTCAGGTATTTGTTGATTCCTTATTACTAACCAATCATTACAATGGATCTGATGCAACGAACGGTGAAAAATTATCATTATACCTAGAGATCCTCAAAAACTTAGCTTTTGATTCCGAAAACTTTAGCCTAACCAAATTCCTAGAGAAGAAAATACAAAAGTAGATGCATTAGCCAATGTAGAATCCTCCCTTAGGATCCCACCAGAGACGAAGATTCCTATAACTCATATAACAACCCCATCCATAGAAACCCTCTCCGACAAATCAGAAGATCCTAATCATCCAACAAGCGTAGCAGCAACTGAAGATCCTGACCCTTGGATCTTTCTTCAAAGAGATCCCGACGAACATGATCCTCAAAGAAGTTCGCGGTCATGGACCCAACCCATCATGGAGTATCTCCAAAATGGCACAATCCCGGCAGGAGAAAAAAGTGAAAGATCATTCAAGACAAGAGTCTTGAGATTTGTATTAATCAAAGGTAAACTTTACAAAAAAAATATATGGCAGGTCCATACCTAAGATGCTTGGAAGATCGTGAAGCTGCAAAAGTCTTAAAGTATATAGACAAAGGAGATTGTGGCAATCACACCGAGGATAGATCCTTATGCTAAAAAATACTAACGAAATTACGGATACTACTAGCCAACCATGAAGAAAGACTCCTTTCTGCATGCTCAAAAGTGTGATGCTTGCCAAAGACACATCAACATCCTGCATCAACTGGCAGAACCTCTACATCCTGTTATCTCCCCATGGCCATTCATGAAATGGGGGATGGATATTGTAGGAAAATTACCAGTAGCCCCAGGAGGAAAAGTCTTCATGTTGGTGATGACTAATTACTTCTCCAAATGGATCGAAGCTGAAGCTTTTGTCCAGGTAAGGGACAAAGAGGTAGTATAATTTATTAAACATAGTATCTTGACCAGGTTCGGGATCCCGACTGAAATCATACGTGACAATGGATCCCAATTTATTAGCAAAAGGACAAGAGACTTTTGCACAAGCTGGGGGATCAAAATGATAATGTACACTCCCATTCATCCCTAAGCCAATGGCCAAGCGGAGTCCAACAACAAAATCACAGTTAACAATTTGAAGAAAAGACTGGACAAAAAAAGGGAAGATGGGCAGAAGGACTTCCTTTCATTTTATGGGCAGATAGAACCACTTCTAAAGTAGCCACATGTCAGACCCCCTATTGCTTAGTGTTTGGAACAGAAGCAGGAATCCCTACACAAGTAGTGATCCCAATGGCAAGATACTTGTTGCAAGACCAAGAGAATAATGACAGGATCCTAGCACAAGATCTTGACATTATCGACGAGCTTAGGGATCTTGCCAAAATACGCATTGTTGCTCATTAACTAAGAATCACCAAAGCTTACAATAGGAATAAAAGGGTCAGAATGTTTCAAATAGGAGAATTTGTATTAAGGAAAACATTCTAAATCACCAAGGATCCCAGCGTGGGAAAATTGGCCCCCAAATGGGAAGGACCATATCTTGTGGATGCTGAAGCAGGAAAAGGAGTATACTAGCTAGAAAACACTCGAAGGAGACGTTTTGCCAAGATCCTGGAATGCCATACACCTCAAAACATATTGCATGTAAGTAGGATCGGATGATCCACAACAAAACCAAGGTACACATGTTCTTTACTTTAAACATTTATTATTACAGATTTTCTCCTAGAACAC